GGGTTTGGATTGAGCCCGAGCCTATAATACCCCTAATTTTAAAAGGATAGTCTCGGTATTTTATTAATTGTTTTAATTGTATTTTTAATTATATATTTGATTTATTGACTATTTATTTAATTGATTAATTGGTTATTTGACTATGTGGTTATTTGAATTATTTTTTTATTTTAAATGGTGTGTTAATTAAATAATTATTTGTATGATTTTTACTTGATTAGATGATGTGTAGTTAATTGGTAATTAATTGTTAGGAGTTAAATGATTTAAATGTTTGTTTCATTTTATTTTATTTTATGTTAATGGTTATGGAGAGTAGTCATGGACCTAACCCATGGGTCGCATGAACTATTTGGATAGGAGATTAAAATGGTACAAATAGTTACCTTTGGATTGATGGTACATATATATATGGTACCTTTGGATTAAAGTTAATAGTTAGTAATATTAATTATTATAGTCTGTATAACTATATATATATATATATATATATATATATATATATATATATATATATATATATATATATATAGTATATTTATGTATATGAAATCACGTATTGACATAGTTGTATATATTTATATTTTATATTTTTCCTTTTATTTTAGTATTTACCATATTAGCAGAAGTAGAGTGCATATAGGATTAGGGTTAAAGTGAAGGCCTATATATATTCTTTAAGTCTGTAGAAGAGAGGGCTTAAATATTATTTACGTGATATATATTATTAGAGAGAGAAAGAGGCAAAGAGATAACAGAGAGTTGAGAGAATATGTGAAAGAGAGGAAGAAGGAGATTCGGCTAAGGGAGGAGGGCGAACCCAAGGAGAAGAAAGGAGGGGTTGTGTGTGGGCTAGCGCGGAGTAGCAGAGAGGTTTGACGACAGCGCAAGTCGCCGGAATATCAAAGAAGAAGGATATTTAAGGTTTTCATTACGAAACCTTGAAGGCAAGTTCTTTTCCTATTCTCTCCTTTGGACTTGTGTTTCTATACATGCCTAAGAGATTCCAGGATACTTAAACAATATAATAAAATGATTATGCATGTTTGAATTAGATTAGAACAGAGGATTTCATAGTTTTATTCACCTGTTCTTGATTTGTTTATTTTTGGATTTATGTTTCATGATTTGTTGTTAAAGTTTGATCTTTACATGTTAGGACATCTAAAATAAATTAGTATGAGAGTATGGGACTTAGATCGAAGGTTAGAATTCTGTCAATGGAGGTTGGACGGAAAAAGAGGGGAGTTACAGGAAGAAGTAGTCGACTATATTAAAGGGCATAGTAGATTACGCGTAGTCGACTATATTGAAGGGCATAGTAGATTACGCATATTCGACTATATTGAAGGGCATATTGAAGTAGTAGTCGACTATGTACACTAGACTATCTTGAAGGCACAGAAGACTACGTATAGTTGACTATGTTGAGGGCACAATCGACTATGTTGAGGGTGGTTTTAGTTGTGATTTGGGTTTCTTGGTTATTTTGCCCATAATGTGTATTGTTCCATGTTAATTACTTTAAATGATTTAAATGGACATGAAAAAAATCTCAGAATGCATAATCTACCGTAACATGCTATGTATAATATGCTCAATTAATTATCTGATTTTTATTATGCATATTATTCAAATTTTATTGATGTATTATTTTAATTATTTCATCAATTATTGGATTGTGTGTATCTGATGTACCAGTATGGGATGGTGGCATCTTAGGGACGAATTAACTGATAAAAGTTAAGTCCTACCTATTCGGATTTATAAGGGAATGAATTAACTAAAAAGTTAAGTCTTCCTTATTTTCATGTCAGGCCATTAAATTATAATGGATTTTATTTTATGCTTTAGACAGGATGGATTTTTATATACATATGGATATGAGCCATGATATGAGCTTGAGTCTCAGGATCTATGGTTAGGGAGCGTATACTGCCTTGGGAAGTCTCATTGGTTATAAGAGTGTTGAGAATCCTGGTAGGTTGAGGTACTCATGCCTACTATATGTGCATTTTGCATATTTTCTTCTATTCAGGTTAAGTCCATCCTATAGTCCAATGGTAACCCTTTAGTATGTGTGTGTGTGTGTGTGTGTGTGTATATATATATATATATATTTTTTTACAGACTATTAGTTATTGTTGAGTTAACTAGGATGTATACGTGTATCGAATCTCCGCTCGGACTGTAGTAGAGTAAAACTTGTTTGTGGGTCTGACCCACTATTATTTTTCAGGTGTCCGTCAGCTTCAGGGATAGAGACTGTTTGTGCTGAGCAGAGATAGTTATTCATTCTTCCGACTACGTAGGATTCTTCGTCATGTTTTAGTTTTAGATTATTTCATTTAAGATGTTTTGTTTTGGGATATTATTAGGAGTCCACTAGATGGATTCCCGAGTTGTAATGATATAGGATGTTTTGGATAATTATTGTGGAGGATTAATTATTATGGATTCAAGGATTTATAATTTAGTTTCATTCTACTATTTTATTTGTTCTTAGTTATTTCTTTTGTATTTAATTGCTTGTTTATTACTTAATTGTTTGATATCCCTCGGGTTTGGGCTTGGGCCTGATCAACCAATGTCTCTGAGTCAAGGGGTATCACAGAGCCTAACCAGAATATGTCTGGGTTTTGACAAAACCCAACCCGAATATGAACTCGATTTGTGAATTTTAAGCCCTAATTTTAAAATTTTTGGGTTGGGGTTGGGTTGGGCTGGATTAGCCCGCCCAAATTATAACTTTAGACTTGGAGTCAGGCTATTAAAAAGTGTAATTTCTAAATGGAGGAGTTAAGTATAGACCTGAGCTTTTGACACTGTATACGTATAGAGCAATCTACCCAGAAAAAAAGGTATGAATTGAGTAGTTGTGTTTAGATTTCAACCCCCATTTTTTGGATTTGACAATCTATTTATTTATTTTCCTTTTGTACTTGAACAAACACATAAGATTGTTTCATTGGTTAGGAAATTAAACCCTTAATCTCCGATGTTAATATGTCCATTTGACGTCTGGACAGAGTTATGTCCCATTATGCCCCAAATGAGACGGGATTGCTTAGTTGGATATGTTCTAATCAGGTTATGCTTGGTATGAGAATTAGAATCAAGATCGGTCCAACTCCAAACCCGCCCCATTCAATTTTTAAACTATATGTAAAACATAAAATGGATAATTCAATTATTTGAGTTTTTGTTCTTTTTCACTTTTTTCACGATTCTTTAGATATATAACTATAAAATTAACAAAATTTATTATCATTCTTATAAATTATTTGGTTATATTTATCTTTTCTAAGGAATTAATATTGAATTAATTATAAATTGCATTTAGTAATTGTTTGAAATATGCATAAAAGGAACCCTCAAATCTTCAATCTATCTCGAGTTTAGAATGAGGCAAGGCGAGACCAGTTAGGTTTGAGTAGGAATGGCAATGGGGCGGGGATCTCATTTCCCATCCCCGTTTAATTTTTTCACCCCCATAATCGCTCCAAAACCCGCCGGGTTTTTCAAAGCAGCCTCCATCTTCATCCCCATCTACATAATCAGTTCTCCAAATTCGCCCCAAATGTGGCGGGGCCTCGCCAGGATAAAGATTTTTGTTATTCCTAATATATATATACTTATCCTATTTTATTAATATATCATAGTATGTAAGAGAAATTTAATAAATTTATAGTATATTTGGGGCGGGCGAGGCAACCATCCACCAAAACTATCCCAAAATTGATCGTGTTTTTCAAAGCAGCCCACATTCCCGTCTTCATTTACATAATCGGTTTCTCAAAATTGCTCTCAAATGAGATAGGACGGGCAAGACCTCATTGGGGTTGAGATTTTTGCCATCCTTAAATTTGAGAATTAATTTGACTTTATCAAACGAGTTTAGAATAAGAACGTCGTGTGTTATACCCGTTCCATTTACATCTCTACACAAGAAGTTTGAACAGCAATTAAGGCTGCAAGTAGGTCCAATTTAAGAATCTAATAAAGACCCCACCCAAAAAAAAAAAAAAAAAAAAAAAAAAAAAAGGAAATGACCCAGGGTTGCATGACCGTTGGAAAATGGTCAAACTCAAAACAGATGCTTTCTTGGTCATCTACAGCAGTAAGAAATAGTCGTGAGGTTTATTAATTTTGATTTGTCTTTTTTCCCTGTTTCTCAAAATTACAGTTTAGCATAATGACATAATTTACTCTAAATGAAATTTAATACTGTATTTTAATTGTATAATACTCATATAAATTTTTTATTTTTATTTTTACATTCTTTACTTCATTTACTATTTTTTTTTTTTTTCACGTGCTATACTTAAATTGTTGTAGTGTTAATAAATGCTGGAACAACTATGCCTCATGGAATTGGTTAACAGGAGTTTCCCTAATCAAATATAAATTTACTAAAAATGCATGCACAAATAATACACATGTCATTTTCTTAGGTCAAAATTTTATCCTAAAAGTTTCTTAAAATATCTTTTTTTAGTGAAAAATGACATGCTGTTGAGACAATTAACTGATTAGGACATAATGCACTGATGAGTGCAAGAGTTACCATTGTCGTGCTCCTTAAGAACATTAAAAGCTCTCAAAATTGACAATCATAGACTCCATGGGCCATGCCTCATTCCCTTATGTTGTTCCTCTTCAATAATGCATTATCCACTGAAATATGAACAAAGCACCAAAACCTAAATTTTTTTTTCTCCCTCAAATTGACAATTTTGCTACCAAAATTGAACTTCTAATACAAGTAGAGCTATATAAAAACATGTCAAATAACACAAAAATAATTGAAAAAGAAATCAAAAAAGAGATACAAAAAAGTTTTGCTCTCTACAAATTTTTTTATTTATTTATTTTTTTATATAACCGCCTTTGGATGACATGTGGCAAGAATTTATTGACTCACCTGTCCGTATGCAAGAGGTCAATCAATCAGTTAAGTCAAGAAATCCACCGAGAATAATCTCGCGCGAAGGGTTCTCTCTCGAACAAGCATTTGAACCTTGGGCTCACCATGTCCTTATGTTGAGGCTTCAAGAAACTTCCAATTTTCCAAACCCTTCTTTCCTTCTTCGGCTCTTTCCTTTGTTCTTCCATGGCTTCTGCATTTACTACTCTATCGATTAAACCATCCACTTTTTCTTTGTCTTCCAATTTTCCAAACCCTTCTTTCCGTCTTCGTTCTGCACCTTTTGTTTCTTTAGACCTTCGATCTCGTATCAAACCAAGCGCTTCTCGATGGCCCTCTGTTTCTGAAACAGGTATTTTCTTCTTCTTCTTCTTCTTCTTCTTCTTCTTTTTTTTTTTTTTTGGGGGCAAAATAACCCAAGCAATACTCTTTGGTATTTTCTTCTCAAAATTGTTGATAAGCGAAATAGGTCTCAAATTGTAACTTGCGATTTGACTAGATTACAATGTTACCGAACAACTGGTTATGAATTGATTTGATTGCTCAGATATTGTTATTCATGATATTGACCCGATTCAAGCCAGAGGTAATTCAACCATTGAATTTACAGGGGGAAAGATTTATCATCTCTATGGGATTAAATCACGAGTTATTGCCAAAAAAAAAAAAAGATTATGGAAGTAAAAATTCTAGCATTTATTGCTATTGCACTGTTCATTCTATTTCCCAATGCTTTTCTACTAATCATTTACATAAAAACGGTTGGTCAAAGTGATCTGGACTTGCAGTAGTATGAACTCTCAAGCCGTGCCAAAAATAGAAAGTAATTAATTCCAGTCTCATGAGTATTTCCTTTCAACTAACAGTTTGTTTGTTGCATTTTTAATGGATAAATTCTCTTGCTGTTTCCATATTTGTCTTAATTATTTAACGAAATTATTGTTATTGTTGGTGGTGGTGCTGCATTTATGTGTTGCACCTGCTTTACAGTGAGGAAGAGGGGTGACCTCCTTGTAAGGGTAGGAATGGGGGTATGAAATTCAGAGTACTTGAGCGTGAGCCACCAGAGTATTGCCTCTGTAGTTCTCCCGGGCAGTGAGGATCAATTAGTCAAGCAGGATGGTTTTGATGATGTTGGTGGTGCCAGTAAACAGAGGGCAGAGACTTGGGAAATAGTAGAGTGGCCACTGAAGTGTCCACATCTATTTCAGTCAGTTGGTGTGAAGCCACCTAAAGGGATTCTCTTATATAACAAAACTGGTGCTTCCTTCTTCTGTATAAATGGACCAGAGCTTATGTCTCAATATTTCGGAGGGAGTGAAAGCAATCTCAGGAAAGTATTCGAGAAAGCACATAAGAATGCTCCATCGATTATCTTTATTGATGAGATTGATTCTATTGCTCCCAATCGAGAGAAAACTCGTGGGTAACCTATTGAGAGGGTTGTTTCCCAGCTACTAACCCTTATGGATGGTGTTGAGCATCGTGCTCAAGTTTTTGTGATTGGTGTTACTAATCTTCCTAACAGCATTGACCCGGCCCTGAGAAGGTTTGGTAGATTTGATAAGGAAATTGAAATTGGTGTTCCGGATATGAACAGTGCAATAGCAAAAATGATGAGATTATGGAAGTAAAAATTCTAGAATTTATTGCTACTGCACTGTTCATTCTAGTTCTTACTGCTTTTCTACTTATCATTACTTAAAAACAGTTAGTCAAAATGATGTGGACTTGTACTAACATGAACTCTCAAGTCATCCCAAAGTTCATATTTAAAATCGAAAGTAATTCCAGTCCAGTGTTAGCACATTAGATGATGGTCCAGGAGTTCTTTCCTTTCAACTAACAGTTTGTTTGTTGCCTAGCTAGTTAATGGTTAAATTCTCTTGTTGTTAGTATAGATGTCTTATTTAATGAGCCTTCAGAAAATTATATCATGTTATTATTAATATTGTTGGTGGTGGTGGTGCATTTGAGTATTGAACCTGCTTTACAGGGAGGAAGAGGGGTAACCTCTTTCTTGTAAGGGGAGGAATAGTTCCCCTGGGCAGTGAGGATCAATTAGACAAGCAGGATGGTTATTATGATGTTGGTGGTGTCAGTAAACAGATGGCAGAGATTCGGGAAATAGTAATGTGGCCCCTGAAGAATCCACATCTATTTCAGTCAGTTGGTGTGAAGCCACCTAAAGGGATTCTCTTACATGGACCTCCAGGATGCGGAAAGACTTCAATAGGAAGAGCTATTGCTAACGAAGCTGGTGCTTCCTTCTTCTGTATAAATGGACCAGAGCTTATGTCTAAATATGTCGGAGGGAGTGAGAGCAATCTCAGGAAAGTATTTGAGGAAGCAGAGAAGAAGGCTCCATCGATTATCTTTATTGATGAGATTGATTCTATTGCTCCCAACAGAGAGAAAACTCATGGGGAAGCTACAGGGAGGGTTGTTTCCCAGCTGTTAACCCTTATGGATGGTGTTAAGAGCCGTGCTTATGTTATTGTGATTGGTGCTACTAATCGTCCTAACAGCATTGACCCTGCCCTGAGAAGGGCTGGTAGATTTGATAAGGAAATTGAAATTGGTGTTCCAGATATGGTTGGGCGTCTTGAGATTCTTCGAATCCATACAAAGAACATGCCGCTTGCTGAAAATGTAATGTCAAACACTATACTTTTGAGTTAGTATCATCTTCCATTTTTATAGTAGGTGTGTATATTGTTTTTGAACAATTTATATATGCTTTTAATTGTGCAGGTTGATTTAGAAAGAATTGCCAAAGGCACACATGGATATGTTGGTGCCGATTTAGCAGCTCTGTGCAGCGAGGCTGGACGCCTATGTATCAGAGAGAATATGGGCGTGATTGGCTTGAAAAATGATGTCATGGATGCTGAGATACTCAACTCCGTGGCTGTTACGAATGAGCTCTTCCAACTACAAATTGCTACGGGAAAAAGCAAGCCATCAATTCTGCCCGAAACAGTGAGGGATTTTTTATATTTTGTTTTTTTTCATAAGCAGGTATTGTATTGATCAAAAGATAGATCAATCAGTATATAAGGATCAAACTTTATGCCTTTTAATTGTGCAGGTTGAGTTAGAAAGAATTGCCAAAGACACACATGGATATGTTGGTGCTGATTTATCAGGTCTGTGCAGTGAGCCTGCATTGCAATTCCTCAGAGAGATGGGTGTGATTGGCTTGAAAATTGAGGTCATAGATGCTGAGTTACTCAACTCCATGGTTGTTCCGAATAAGCACTTCCAACTACAAATTGCTATGGGAAAAAGCAAGCCATCAATCCTGCGTGAAATGGTGCGGGAATTTTTTATATTTTATTTTTTCATTAGCAGGTATTGTATTGATCAAAAGATGGATCAATCAGTACATAAGGATCAAAGTGAAGGCATTCCTTCACTCTAGACATCGACAAGAAACAGATAAGTACCACTTCCAGTATACATGGAAGAAAAAGAAAAACACAGAAAGAAAACTGCATGGCAGCAACAACATCATGTAGAAAAGCCCCAACACCAAGTGTGACCCTTGTCACCTCAACAGCAGACATGCTAACCCCTTTGATGGAATCTAAAATTTCTCTCCCCTCAAATAGCCCACACAACAGCTGTGAAAACCATCCTCTTAACTTGGCATTATGTGATGATCGAAGCTATAGTATACTTAATTAACCAATTCAGCAGTTGATCAAAAGTTCTCACCTCTGGTAGAGACAGACTCAGAACATCATCAAACCATGCCCATATTTTCTTAGCAAATTGGCACCCCATGAATAAATGATCCCTAGAATAATCAAATGAAAGACAGTTAGAACACACTGAAGTCAGCTGAAATCCCCTCTTCTGCAGATTAAATAGTGATAGGTGCTTGTCCAAAATAATCAAACAAGCAGCAAAACAATTTGATGCCTCCCCTTATTCCAAGGCACCAAAGGAAGATGTTGTCTACATTTATCCCAAGCTTTTTTCGAAGTAAATGAACCCTCATCCCACATCAGTCTATCTCCACGTACCATTATGAATAGGCAAAATATAAATGAACTACTTTACATGGTACATCCCAGCTCCCAAAAAACTGAGATAGCATCTACCATCTTGAATAAGAACATTCACTACGGCCTGTCTTGAGAGTGAAAAGCATCTAACCTCTGCGACAAAGTAAGGCCACATCTCTTAACAAGCTAAAATTCACATTCTGTAGCATGATGTCCCTGACTGATAGAACCTGTTCCAAATAGCAGAATGAGAGGATGAAAGAATTGAACTCCAGTAGGAAGCTAGTGTTTCTGATGTACCTATTAGTAAACCAAGCAACCCACAGAGATTCTTTCTTCTTAATCAAGTCCCAAACCAAAGCACGTGAAAACAATTTCTGAATATCCTCAATCTTTCTCACACCAAACCCACCCTCAGCTTTAGGTAAAGAGACCTTCTTCCAACACAACAATTGAGCTTTCTTCACCAAATCTGAATCTCCCCAAATAAATGTCTTCAATTTTCTTTCTATACCATGAGACACAAAAGCAGGTAAATGAAACACAGTACTCCAATAGTTTCAACTCATTTCTAATGTTGTGGTGAGCCAGGTTGTTGAAGTGCCCAATGTCAGTTGGGAAGATATCGGAGGCCTTGAGACTGTTAGGCAGCAGCTTCAAGAGGTAGTTGCAGTTGCTGCATTGCAGTGTATGTATACACCTAAACCTTATATTTTTCAATTTTCTCCTCATACTCTCTCTTTATCATGTAGATCATCCAGTATCCCATGGAGCATCCTGAAAAGTTTGAGAAGTTTGGTGTGTCAGCCTCAAAGGGAGTTCTTTTCTATGGCCCACCAGGATGTGGGAAAACTCTTCTGGCCAAGGCTGTTGCCAATGAATGTCAAGCCAACTTTATCAGTGTTAAGGGTCCGGAATTACTTACCATGTGGTATGGAGAAAGTGAGGCTAATGTTCGAAAAATATTTGAAAAGGCTCGCCAATGTGCTCCTTGTGTGCTATTCTTTGATGAGCTGGATTCAATTGCTATAAAGGTCTGTTTTAGTGTTTTCTACCCCGAATTGTTCGTTGTGATATTTTGTAATCCCTGTTTACATTTTTTTTTTTTTTTTTTTTTTTTTTCATTCCTTGTAGAAGGGGCAGAATTCAGTAGATAGTGGCGCTTCTGACAGGGTTTTGAATCAACTGCTAACGGAGATGGATGGATTTTCTACCAATAAAATGGTTTTTGTTATTGGAGCCACCAACAGGCTTGATCTTATTGATCCTGCACTTACGCGTCCTGGCCGTTTTGATCAATTGATTTATATCGCTTTGCCTGATGAAGAATCTCGCTATCAGATTTTCAAGGCTTGCCTTAAGAAATCTCCTGTTTCTGAAGATGTAGACCTGGGATCCCTTGCTAAGAACACCCAAGGCTGCAGTGGTGCTGATATTATGGAAATATGCCAACGTGCCTGCACCTATGCCATAAAAGAGGAAATTCAGAAGGTAAGCTTCTGTACTAATTTTTCATGTGTGCCAACAAAAACCTCAGTGACCCCAGCACGGCCCAGTCTTCCCAGCCTTACCACCCCAGCACCCTAAAAATATTGTGTTAGTTGAATGAAAATTATAAAAGCCTCTTCATATGCCCACATAATTGGAACAATGGTGTTGTATCATGTCTGGAAAGGCGTGTAACAACTGTATTGGTTAGGTGTGAATATATGCCCTTACGCCTGTGGTCTAATCAGAGTCCAAGACTCGTTTGTTATGATGTCACTAATTTATGTTATATATAATCAGATTTAGTTGTAACTGAACTTCCATGAAAGTTGGACAATGCTTACTGTGTTTGAGTTTGGCCTTTTGTAGTACAAAGGAGATAGCATGCCATGATAATGCCATCCCAGTAAAATCCTTTGTCATATTCTGGGAAGTCCTTACACTAAAGAAATGATAAGAAAAGCAACTCAATTCTTTTAAAGGCACAATGCCCTCATTTGAACCTATGTGAAACTCAAAGGACTTGTTTAGTTCAAACCATCTTCGGAAATTCTTACTTTATTTTGTGGAAACTAAAATAGTATTAAGGTTGAATTTTCACTTTTCATTTTGCAGGAGAGTGAGAGGGAGAGGAGGAGAATGGAGAATCCGGAGGCTATGGAGGAGGATGTAGAAGAAGAAGTGTCAGAGGTCAAGGCTGCCCATTTTGATGAATCAATGAAATATGCGCGTAGGAGTGTAAGTGATATGATGATGTCATTGATATGAACCAGGCAGTTGTTGCAGGGGGTCTGAACTGACCATTTTTGAACCTTTCTTCAACAAACACACAGACACCTTTGAAGGCAACAATGGTATTAAGACTAATGTTCGTCTGATGATTACTATGTTGTTGTTTCCTGCTTTTTGTGGCATTTTCACTCGAGACGTTGTTACATATCCATATGCATGTAAATAATTTGATAAATAAATAAGGCTCGGGTGGGTTTTACACCTCTATGATATCGATATAGTGCGTGTAATTCCCCATTGTTTGCTCACCTCTGCATTTTGGGTGTTGACCTCTATTGACCTATACCGGAGCTAGACAAAAAGACTAAAATAGCCCTTATCTATGATTTAAAAATAATAAAATAACAAAAAAAATGGGAAAAGACTAAAATAGCCCTCTATCAATACTCCATCCCTACTCTCGTTCTCGACTCTGATCTTGCCCTCTCTCTCTCTCTGCCACTGCAAACTACAAAACCATACAAGAATCAGAAGTTCAAAACCCATATATCTATCTGTCTGCAAGAATCAAAAGTTCAAAACCTATTACCTATCAAAACCCATGTCGGCATATCATTTCAGATTGTTCAAAAAATTAAAACCCACATCTTTCAGTTTCCGTTTCAGATTGTTCCAAAAATCAAAACCCATATCTTTCAGTTTCCATTTCAGATTGTTCAAAAAATCAAAACCCATATCTTTCGGTTTCCATCGCCCGCTGTTCTAGTTCGGGTTTGCCGTTCGCAAGCTTCAGCCGTTGTCTCTCAATTCTCAAGCTTGCCCCCCTCTCTCTGTGCAACTGCTAACTTGTGTGTATGGTTTTTGTTTTAATTTTTTTTCTAAATCAACTAATCAAGGTCTATAATTCTTGTTTTGCAAACTAAATCCTCTTTGGTGAAATTTTTTATGATCTTTTTTATATAATTTTTTTTTAGGGCAAATCATTTCAGCCTTCCCAATCGCCTCCATCTCTAGTCTTGTTCTCAACTCTGAACTTACCCTCTATGCTCCATGGCTGCTTCAACTCTCTCTGCTATCACCCCTTCTCAGGTAAACCACCCTCTCTCCTCCAAACCTCTTTCCAGTGACATAACATAACATAAAAAATGGGTATTTCTTCTTCTCTTTATGATGTTAGTAATATTAATTGAGTTGTGGTTTTCAGCTGTGTTTGAGTAAGAATGGGATGTTCTCACCATGTCAAGCTCTAATGGTGAAGTCCACAAGGACTCGTCATCAATTGGGTGCTGTAACTGCAAACTACAAAAAAAAAAAAAAATACTGTACACAAATATATATATATTTGTGTATAGTATTGCAGTTACAGCACCCAATTGATGACTAGTCCTTGTGGACTTCATTTGTGTATTGTATTTTTTTGTAGTTTGCAGTTACAGCACCCAATTGATGACGAGTCCTTGTGGACTTCACCATTAGAGCTTGACATGATGAGAACATCCCATTCTTACTCAAACACAGTTGAAAACCACAACCCAATTAATATTACTATATATGTGTGTGTGTGTGTGTGTGTGTGTGTGTGTGTGTGTGTGTGGTGAGGGAAGTAAAGAAATATAAAAGGGTAATTTTGGAAATAAAGGGTTTAAAATGGTCATGTGCCGTGCACATGACCAACTCACCGGAATTTTCACCGCAATTCTCACCGGACGTGTTTAATCGCACATTTTTATATCTAGTATGGATTTATATAAACAAATTAAACGAAAAGGGTGTAATTCGCACAAATTGAAAACCAAAGGAGTATTTTTCAAACTTTCCCCAATAAATAATCAACTTGAAGTTCTTAAAGTCAGAGTGCAAAAGAGGATAATTTTAAAAGATAAAAGAAATTAGAGAGAAAAAACCAATTTGATTGTTCTTTCTCACTTCTCTTTTAATAGTCATTTTTGCCTACTTCTTGGAACATGAGAACTTATTAAAAACCCATATGGATATATATATATATATATATATATATATATATATATATATATATTACATACGCATATATGATCAAAATTGAACAATGTTACACATCTGAAATAAAAATAGAGATATGTATCTCAAATACGATGTGGTGATAATTAGAAGAAAGATGTGTTCTCTATTTTAATAGATATTATACTTTCTTTCTCTTGTTAAAGTATTAACATATTTAAGTAATAGTTAAATTAAGAAAACAAGCAAATCCAAAGTTGTAGATGATTCTCATCATGTATGTATATGTAATTATATATATAAGTTATAGGCATTTGTGTTTTCTCTTACTTTTGAGCTAAGAATATTTTTTGAGAATATGGACGTGGAGTAAGGCCATTAAAAAGTGTAATTTCTAAATGGAGGAGTTAAGTATAGACCTGAACTTTTGATACTGTATACGTATAGAGCAATCTACCCAGAAAAAAGAAGGTATGAATTGAGCAGTTGCGTTTAGATTTCAACCCCCATTTTTTGGATTTGACAATCTGTTTATTTATTTTCCTTTTGTACTTGAACAAATACATAAGATTGTTTCAACAGAAATAGAACCATCAACCTTCAATGTAAATATTCCTATTTGACGTCTGGACAGAGTTATGTCCCATTACGCCCCAAGTTATGTCCCATTACGCTCCAAATGAGATGGGATTGATTAGTTGGATATGTTCTGGTTATGCTTAGTATAAGAATTAGAATTAAGATCGGTCCAACCCCAAACCCGCTCCATTCAATTTTTAAACTCTACATAAAATGGATAATTCAATTATTTGAGTTTTTATTCTTATTCACTTTTTTTCACAATTCTTTAGGTATATAACTATAAAATTAACAAATTTATTATCATTCTTATAAATTATTTGGTTATATAAATATTTTCTAAAGAATTGATATTGAATTAATTATAGATTGTATTTAGTAATTGTTTGAAATATGTATAAACCCTCAAATCTTCAACCTATCTCGAGTTCGGAATGAGGCAAGGCGAGACCAGTTAGGTTTGAGTAGGAATGGCAATGTGGCGGGGGATCTCATTCCCCATCCCCGTTTAATTTTTTCACCCCCATAATCACCCCAAAACCCGCCGAGTTTTTCCAAACAGCCTCCATCTCCATCCCCATCTACATAATTGGTTCCCCAAATTCGCTCCAAATAGGGTGAGGCCTCGCCGGGATGGAGATTTTTGTTATTCCTAATATATATATATATAACCTATTTTATTAATATATCATAGTATGTAAGAGAAATTTAATAAATTTATAGTATATTTGGGACGGGACGGGGCAACCATCCCTCCCAAAATTGGTCGTGGTTTTCAAAGCAACCCACATCCCCGTCTCCATTTACATAATCGGTTTTTCAAAATCGCCCTCAAATGGGATAGGGCAAGGCAAGGCTTCACCGTGGTAGGAATTTTTGCCATCCCTAAATTTAAGAATTAATATATATATATATATATATATATATATATATATATATATATATATATAAAAATAATAAAAGATAAAAGAAAAGAAAATAAAATAAATTAGAGAGAAAAAAACCAATTTGATTGTTCTTTATCACTTCTCTTTTAATGGTCAATTTGCCTAGTTCCTTAGAACATGAGGACTTATTAAAAACTCAGATGTGTACACACACATATATCTATATCTATACCATACTATTATTAAAAGTGTAAAGAGTTTAATATTTCAGTATTTATTTATTAATATAAAAAAAAATATTTATTAATTGATATAAAAAGAGTTTTTATAAAACTCTAACACGAATTACCTATTTATCTATTTATTATGAGTTTTTTAATAAAAGAAAATCTAATTAGATAAGGATATATTAAAAAATAAATAAAATAATTTTTATAAAACTCTACCACAAATTACTTATTTTATTTTCTATAAAACTCCACCACATATAACCTGTATTTATCTATTTAGTATGATTTTTTTAATAAAAGAAAATCTAATTAGACAATGATATTTTTAAAGAAAATAAAATAATTTCTATAAAACTCTACCACAAATTACCTATTTTATTTTCTATAAAACTCTATCACATATAACCTGTATTTATCTATTTATTATGAGTTTTTTTAATAAAAGGATATCTAAATTTCTAATTAGACAAGGATATATTTAAAGAAAATAAAATAATTTCTATAAAACTCTACCACAAAAAAATATATATATTTTTTAATTGATGTAAAAGGAGTTTTTAAAAGATTTTCTATAAAACTCTAACACAAAATACCTATTTAACTATTTATTATGAGTTTTTTAATAAAAGAAAATCTAATTAGATAAGGATATATTTAAAGAAAATAAAATAATTTCTACAAAACTTTATCTATTTATTAGACAAGATATATTTTAACAAAATAAAATAATTTCTAGAAAACTCTACCACAAATTACCTATTTCTACAAAATTCTACCACAAATTATTGTAATGTAATTGATTTTTCCTATTTTCTATTTTTGGAGATTTTTTTATTTTTTGATTTTTCAGAATTTTTCTTCTCGTATCTCATTTTGCGTGCCAGACCCCGTGGGGTGTGCCGAATGAGTCCCTGGAGTTGGTTGGGGCATTTATTCGAAATCGGGACTCTTAGAAATGCATTGTTGGCCATTTCGGCATTTTTTTAATTTTTCAGGCTGGGAGGTCCTAGGCGAGACCCGCACCTGAATTTTTTGTGCACGAGATTGTGTTTCGGGGCCGTTATATATTTCTTGCATCTTTAATTAGTGCTTAATTGTGTGGCTAGATGTTTAAATTCATTATGTGGTACATATGTGTGTGTGTGTGTGTGTGTGGGGGGGGGGGGGGGGGGGAGGGGGGGTTGTTTTGGGGGGACAAAATTGATTTTTTGGTGGGTGTGGAGCCTTTGGCAAAAGGGGCCAAAGCCCCCTTTTTCTTCATTCTTTTCCCTTCCCAATCGCTACCCTTTCTCTCTCCTATATTCTTTCCTTTTTTCTTTTCTTTTAAGCTTCAATATTTCTCTTCCATTTTTTAGCCTATCCGATAGGTTTCCGGGCTCGATTCCTTGATGGAAAGTGTTCCCCTCCTTATCATCTAGCACATTGTTCAAGTGTTTAATTTTTAGAGGAGTGATGAATATTTTACGAATTTTTAAAAATTATAGATCTAAAGCTTCAGAGGGGGTTTTAAGCCATTTCAAGTCGGATTCCGGAGCCGCGCCTTTGGAGCAGTTTACTCTCCTAGTCGTCAGCTACATCTCCACCAAACAGTTTCCCATTCGCCCGACATTAATCGGCGTTGACTTTCCAGCCGAGGATGTCTTTTAGCTGCATTTTGAGGTAGTGATGTCTAAGCAATTACGTTTTGACTTTGGTTGAGTTATTTTGCTTAATTTCTTGTTGAGCATGCTTAGAATGATAAATTTAGGAATTTGAATGTTGGTTATGCGTTTACGTGTTTATGTGATGAAGCATGTTCTAAATGATGTTAATTGTGTATATATATGTGCTTGGTTGCAAAGTCGTTTAAAGAGCATGCCTTACGTTAAATTGTTTTCTTGAGGTTACTTATATATATATGATGATGATGAGTATCTATGGCTAAATTGATAAAGTTGTAAGCATGTATATGTTGATTTCATTCATGCATGATTCCATTCATGACATGGGCATGGTTTGGGGAAAATGAGGCTGAAATGATTTTTAAGAAATGTGTTTTGAAAGGGTTATGAGAAAAAGTTTTGTAAATGGAACCGAATTTCGCGAGCCCTAGGCTAATTCGAGCTAAAGGGAGCGCGGCCGGTGTAGGGCGTGAAAAAATTGATATTAGGCCCCAAATAGTTGCCGAATTTGGAACTAGGGATAATCATCAATCTCACCTTGGTAAAGTCGATTAGCGGTTTTCGGTATGCATTATGTTGGGTCGGGACTATAGTCGAAAAAGCATTGCATTTCACGGCATATCGATATTTGTGAAAATGATTCGTTTATGTGATGATGATCTGTTAATATAAATAATGTAAATTGTGATTTTAATAATTTCTCGAGTATGATCTCGACTTCTTTCTCCCATTCTTTGGTTGTTGGCTCAAAT